TAATATTTTAGTATTGCAAAATATTTAATTGATTTCAGCTTCTGCTCTTAAAAATGAAGGAACAACAGTGTGTTCAAAGCCAATGTTTCAAGGGATACAGGCTTTGTATGCTTCTCCTCCCCAGACGTTCTTCTCAAACACTTCAAGTTTGACTTAAAGCACCCCTGCATCTGCAGCTCTGGGTCTTTCCTTTGCATGGATTACCAATGGTACATAATCATGTGGTGTCTGTGGTCACCATATTGTTATATAGACAAACTACTCAATATAGGGACAATGATGAGGCCACCAAACTCATTCATTTGTGACCTGAATCCATGAGTTGAAACAAAGCTGTCCAAGAGGATACTTTGTTCAGAATTCAAATTTTTATATTACTGAACACGCTGTCACTGCAGATGCAGAGGAGTTACAGCTCTTCAATCTGGGGCCACAATTCCTCAAAGTCTAGAGATGAATGCACCAAGGGTTTTCGTTTTACCCCTGACAGAGAAGGGCTCAGCTGAGAGGGTCACATGTAAATCAGGACTGAAGAAGGTTCTGATCCTAGACTTTGATTTGGTCCCATCTCTCTAATTACAATCTTCTCACCTCTGAAAATTGTAATTAGATTTCCAGCACTAGCAAAACAAAAAGGTGCACATGATGAATCAGAGGGTTTCCCCCACATACATGCCCTCACCGCATTTCTGATGTGATACAGCACTGACAATCAGCATGGAAATGCAAACTGCAGCCACATGCACCTGGTACCACCATGCAAGAGAAAGCAAAAATAAGCAGTTGAAAAGTACCTCAGAAGTAACCTTGCTAGACAGTAATTTACAGGTGTACTGGCAGAAAGGGAAAAGACCAACATTAGTACAAGGAACAAACATATTGAACTTTGGAAGCAAATCAAAAAACCCCAAAACCCAGTGAGAATGGGTACATCCCATAGCAGTGGACCTGAAATGGTCTGGCATCATTCCCAGCTTGGCCCCCTTCCTCTTGGCCAACCACACTCTTGGGTGTTCAAACTGTTGCAGTCTTCCTGCTATCCTCATCCTTTCATCAATCCACTGCAGTGGCAACTTCTTTAGAAATAAAGAGCTAGAGAAAGAATATCTTCCCCTGTCCCTTTCCCCTGTGATGCAGTGAGGTCCTTCCTATGGCAGGTGTACTGGATTTGGCCTTGGCCAAGGAAAAACTACTTTGACTTGAAAAGCCAATAGCTGAAAGTATGAAGAGGAGGAGCTGTGCTGAAGAACAGCACACTAAGAGACAGAAAAAGTGTAGTCTGCACATTAGCTTCCTTGGATAAATGAGATGATAACTCATGGTTCCAAGGTGTTCTTTCTCCTCCTCATGTTTCTTGTATGGATAGCACCCAAGGCTCCCATCATGCAAACACCACCTTTCCTATTATTTGTTGTAACACATTGCAGGACTTTTGCATATACCCCAAGATAGCTCCATTTCAACAGGATTACTCACTTAGACTCATAGAAGAGTAGGGCTGGAAGGGACCTCAGGAGGTAATCTACTCCAACTTCCTGCTCAAGGCAGGATCACCTCCATCTAAACCACACTTAGGGAAACATTATGTCAAACCTACTAAGTTATGTAAAGTGCTCGCAGTATTCAGATAAGTGTTTGTTGAGCTTTGTTCTTTTCTGTGTTACACAGTCAAAGGGAGCATTTGACACGACAGAACTTAGCTTCCAGCAGCTTAGGAAGTCTCTGATTTCTTTGGCATTCAACTGGTGAGCTGAGCAACAGTCCTGCCCTACAGGACTGGATTTCCAAAATGGCAGCTGTCTGTCTGACTGGTAATTATGCTTCTTTAATATATTTTTAAATGGTTCAGCAATTTGCTCTTCTCTGTAATTACTCTCTTTTGTCTGACACTGCATTTTTAAAGGCCTTTGCTGATAAATCAGAATTAATGGTTGTTTAAATAATTATTGCTTAGCCTGGCACACAAAATATTAGCTCAAACCAAAGATGGTGCAAGCTTGGCAAGACAAAGTACACCCCTTCTTATGATTTCTCTTCCTCCCAGTCCTGACAGTTGTTTATAAAAGAAAAAAGGGAGGACAACTAAAACACTCCAACTGTTTCAAGGAGGACTTATGCTGTCGCAGGATTTGGGATGTGAGGGGGGGAGGGAGAAGGGGCAAGGCCAAGGTCAAAGAGCCACCTGAGCTTAGTTACCCAAAGGGCCAGCATGATTAAGGCACACCAGTTCCTCTTGTCAGCAGTGCACAACAAGGTCATGTGGCTAGCACTGCATCTTGCTGCCTTTGACCCCCTAGCCTGAGGGATCGGGTACTCATTTACAGATGGTGGACAGGGGACAGCAGAGCTGGCATGAATTTGGGCAAGGCTGCAAAGCCCTGTCTAGAGAATAGCAAGATACTCTAATTGCTCTGCTACCACACCCTGAGAAACAGAAATATATTACTAAAAAAAGCTGGGCTCCAAATGGGTTTATAGAACATAGGTATGAAAACAAAACTGGGCCAGACCTTCAGCTGACTCCTTTAACTTAAATGGAGTGCTGTTTATCTGTGCCAGGACCTGGTCTGCAATTTGTACAATAGTGGTAATTGTCTGACAGTATAACTTTTAAACAACAAATACCTCAATAGTTTTAGCATCAGCAAGCAGCAGACACCCAGAACCATGCTTCTATGGGATGTTGCTCTACTTTCATAGCAAAGTTCTTGGTCAAGACATTGACTCGCATTTCAAAATACAGGAGACAAAACAATCATGGCCAACTTCTTTTCTAGGTGGGACCTGTGCAGCTCTGTGGATTCTGACTTAGATGCACAAGTAGAGCTTAGAAGAGAGAGTATGACCCTGTGTTTTAATGGCACCTTTCATTTGCGTGTGCTCTGAGGTTCACAACATACAGCAGGTAACAACCGAATGACTATGATAATGGATTCCAGCCATAAGCTGATGGGCAGGGTAAGTCACCTTCATTCATCATGGGAGACAGCGCTACAAGGAAAAGTTCATGATGACAGTGTAACTTGGCTTTACCCATCAGCAATACATTGAACTGACTGATAGAAATAAGCTCCAAAGTTATCAATGCCACCTGAGGATGGATTCTCCAGTCACCTGCACTGTTTTTGCACCACTAAATTAATTTTAAGTTACCCCTAGTCTACACTCAAGGAAAGTGAGGAAAGAATCATACCTCAAATCTCTTGAATGAGATGCCTCATGGCACCATATCACGGGCGCTAGGATGGCAAAATATAGAAGGGGGAAAGTCCTAATATCTTCCTGGGGGAGACAGTTATGAACATTACCCAACCTGAACACAGGAAAACTGCCTATAAGACGCAAAGGAAACTGGACAGTAACCCATTCTTGAAGAGGTGCCTTCACTGTATGAAAGGAAGACACCAAGTTTCTTGTGTCAGAGAAAATAAATGGTGAGTTGAAACATGCTGGCTACCAGGAGGTAGGAAGACCTCCTTAAGGGTTTAATTTTGCTGCACTGATGTCAACTAAAGTTTGGTCACTGACTTTAGTGAAAATGGGATCAGCTCCTAAACCAGTGCAGCATCTGTTTGAACCTTAAAACCAGCCCTCATGTTTTGCATTAATTCACAGCCAAAAAATGCAGTGGGTTCCTCTCTCATTTAACTCTTTCTAATTTTAAATACCATATGGTGGTGTATAATAATAATGATGATTAAACAGCCACAATTAACATCCAGCACATTTTGTGGGCTACTGTTTACAGTATAAACTTGAAAGTCTTTCGAGTTAAAAAGGCTTTATTTCAAATGGAAGTGGTTAGGAAGGCAGTTTCCTTAGATGATGAGCTGGTATTGTCTTCCTTACATTCCAAGTGTTTGAAATGTGTGTAGCACATTGTGGGTACTACAGGGAATAAACAACAACAAAATTCAGCTGTAATGGCTAATAATACTGAAATCCATTTAAGAGTTTATGCTATTTGTCTATCCTACATATACACACAACACAGGGATGCACAACAAGGGAAGAACCTTTTGCAAATCCCTGTGCATGGATAGGAAAAGAGATTGCTTAAAGCGCACACCTGATCTGTGACTGGCATGTGAAATTCACAAGTGAACTCCCCATCAATGCTGGTATTGCAAAAACCTGAATGGGAGGCACCTATGAGACTAACTCAGCAGGATTCTTGTAATTTTTTCCTTTCTGCATCTGCCAAAGAAGAGAGCAAATGGCACGGGAAACAGCATTTTGTCTGCTGTCAGGTGTCGGATATCCTTTGGCATTTTCCTGATCCAAACCAGGAACAATCCCAAACATTGCTTTCAGGGAATCTATCCATTTAGGCTAAACCATTGCATTCTGGACAAGGACTCTGGGAATTTAATGAATATTGGGTGAACACCAGTGTTGGACAGACCCAATTTATACACCTCAAAAAGTGTTGTTGTGTCGCTCACCACAATGTCTCTGTAAGAAATGATTTACAAGTTGATCAGGTCAGTTAGGCTTGGGCTTATTAGTAGTAGATTGGACTCTAACTTTCATATAGATTCTTTCCTCCTTTCAAATGAGTTGCCTTAAATACCTTTAGACTACTCAGCGAGTCATTTTGAAAAGAACACCTGGCATTTAAGAAGCTAAAAGTTGTCCTCCCAACCTCAGCTCGTGGCCTGCAATGAAAGATAACCCAGTGCTACACGTAGAAGAGCAAAAGGGAAGAGCATACTTACACTGCTATCATCCATCCTCTCACGCCTCTTAGTCTTGTGCGTTTCATAATCTTCCATGAGGGTCTGCATCAAATTCTTTGGGCGCTGGGATCCTGCAGCCTCATCAGGCAGTGAGTCAGGTTGCGAGAGGGGACTTTCTGCTGTTGGGGATGGTGGAGGCCTGATCTTCTCTATTTTCCCTAAAATGACATGAAAGGAGTTGCATTTTCTAAGTGGACTGACTCAGGGATAATTTAACTGAAGTGCGACAGCTGGTAAAAGGTACCAGCTGGAGAAATATTTTCAACTTGGTTTAGAGAGACACATTTGGAAACTCATATTATAAAATAAACTCATAAAACAAACACAGCTGAAGTGACTTTCTACTGACCCCTGTATTCCCCTCAGCCTAAACTACACCTATGCAGATGTTTAAGAAACTTTATTTCTGTGAAATGATATATCTTTGAACCTCTCCTACCACTGCCAATCGCTGGGGATCTGGCTGAATTAATAATAGAGGTCTTGCTTCTATACTCTGGAAACTGCTGAACTTACTTTCATTGGATCAGAGACTAAAAGAATTGTATGGTCCAGTGCAGACAGCTCCAAGCCACAGTCTATGCAGGGTTTGCTGATGGCCCAAGGAGAGCAGTCTGCACAGAAAGGATTGGCTCCTGTTTCCAGCTACTAAACTGAATTAAAAGAGCCAAAAAGATACCTCAAAGGCACTTCTAAAATTACTTTTCTAGTCAATTGGTTGTCTCTTCACTGTGTGGTATGTTTATGATAGCTGAACTGATGATAGCTGAACTGGCTAAAAAAAACACGCAAGAACTCTGCAGATGACACCAAGCAGGTGGGACTGCAGACATCTTGGGTGCATCCAGATGAGTGTGTGTGTGTGTGTGTGTGTGTGTGTGTGTGTGTGTGTGTGTGTGTGTGTGTTTCCCTGGGGATGAATAGCAGCAGCACATACTTGTACATACAAGTATGTACTGCTGCTGCCTGTCCTAGGGGAACACCCGTGCATGCATGCTGTGGCGCATAGCAAATTGCCCTAGGTGGGGCTCAGGAGGCTGAGGCCAGGCTCTGGCTTCAGGTGGTGCATGCTGCCACCATGTGTACCACCCTGTTTTTTCTGGATCTCCCAGTGTCAAAAAAAACCTGCCCTGCTGCAAATTAGCAGCATAGCAAATGCCTGCATGTGAGGTGTGTGTGGTCTGTGGTGCCACAAACTTCATGTGCATGCTCGTCTGGACATGCCCCTTGGAGGACAAGTTTAGGATTCAAAATGACCTGGATAAATTGGAGGAAAGGTCTGAAATAAATAGGAAGGATGGAATTCAATAGGAATAAGTGCAAAGTCCTGCATTTAGGGTGGGATGGTCTAATACAATGTACCAATACAAAATGAGGAACAACTGGCTAGGCTGCAGTACTACAGGAAGGGAGATTAGGAGTACAGTGGATTGCTGACCATTGCAGTCCACGAACATGAGTCAATAGTGGAGTATTGCTGCAAAAAAAAGCAATAGCATCCTGCGATATATTAGCAGGCATGTTGCATGCAAGCTACAGGAGGCAATTCTTCCACTGTGTTGAGCCCTGGTCAGGCCTCCCTTGCAGTACTCTTTCCTGTTTTGGGTGCCACGCTTCAACGACGATGCAGATACATTAGAAACAGTTCAAAGGAGAGCAACAAAAAAAAAGTCTAGAAAATGTGACATAGAAGACAACACTTCAAAGAATCAGGGTTATTTAGTCTGAATAAGACCAAACTGAAGAGAGTTGCTATGAAAAGGATGCTAATCAACAGTTCTCTACCTCCAAAAGGAGCATGACAAGAAATACTGTACTTAAATTGCCACAAGGAAAATTTAGGTTGGCTTGTTTATTAAGAAGAACTTTCCAACCATGAAGGTCATTAAGTACTGTATCAGATTACCTAGATGGGTTGTGGGAGCTTTTAAATACAGGTTAAATAAACACTTTTTCAAGGGATGTCCTGCCTAGAGCAAGGGTTTGAACTAGGTGATCTCCTGAAATGCCTTCCAGCCCTATTTTTCTAGAAGAGTGCAGACTGGTCATAACAAGGAGACTGTTACTACTGCTCTGTAATACTATATAAGAGACTTGGGTTCAGTGTCAGCCTGTGGCTTTTATTCTCCAGGTTGGCAGATGCTGGCAGTTCTCCTGGGAGGTCATGACTTATGATGTCACTATGCATTAATGTCCCTGGCTGACAGAGTAGTCTCCATGGGCTCAAGGGCAGTACTATCCAGCCTTCCTCAGCTGGGAGAATGATGATCGTGACTGCAAGCCTCAGGGGTGGGAAGTACAGAGGGTAGAAATACAGCCTTTAAGGCGATGAGAAGATGGAAGCCCTCTTTACTGGAAGTGAAACAAACACAGGGGAATTCTTTCATTTTAAACCTAAGTATAAAATCAGCTAAATATAAATGATGGTTAAAGGAAATGCAGAAACCAAATCCTATCAGTTCTTCCCTGAACGTGGAAGTTGAAAGCTTTTTTAAAATGAAACTGTTCAGAGGGAAACAAATCTTCCAAACCATGTAGATTTTTTAGTTGGCGGTGGAGAGCAGGATTGTTCACGGATTTTCATTCACTCGTCCTTTTGCTGAGACAAATGAATCTAGCAACTCTTGGAAAAAGCCACACAAGCTGTGACCACTAGAGGTCCCACAGCTAGAGCAGGTCAATGAAAGCTCCAGTTAGAATCAATAGGGCTTACTTCTAAAGGAAGAATTGAAACCTAAGTGAATACAACAAAGAACATTTACAAGAAATCCCCTTACAGTGCTTGTTTCATTTTTGACCTAACACAGAAAATCCCCACCATGTTAATATAATATTACAGGCCTGGCTTAAATGGAGAAACACAGAGCTCAGGCGGGAAACTATCCTGTTGTGATGTCCCTAGGCACTGCAGTGCTGCAGGATTTTTCTACCAGAGATTCTCATCTCTGTTAGGTTAGAGCAAATCCACGGACATCACAAGCATAGGGATCTGCCTTGGTGAGCACCATGCTGACCAAGAACATCAAGACCTGTCAGCCAGGGTCCAAAACAAAGGAATCAAAGCAACTCCCAACCCCTGCTGAAACTAATGGGAAGAAAAACAGAAGGGTAAGGGTCCAGTTCCCCACTGCATTACATCATCTTTAAGCTGGTATACACTCCCTTGATCATACTGGAGCAACACAGGGATGAATCAGGCTCCCCAGGCTCACAACAAATAGCTTTTATGTTTTCCTGCTATGACACAATGATCCTGCCATCTGAGTGACTGCTCAGAACCGGACAAAAAGCTCAGGGCTGAAAGCTGTTCCTCCCACTCCCACTGTCACAGTCTGCTGAAAAATAATGTGAGTCTGGACTTTGGGGATCTCAACTAAAGAAAAGAAATGTCTCGAGGAAGCTCTTTATTCCCAGCATGGGCTGGTGGTTCTTGTCACCCCTTGATTCCTATGTTATCAGTAGGAGTCCTCCTGTTAAACAAGTGCTGTTTAATGCATGTCTCACTGCACTCTCATTATTCCTATTTTATAGACGGGGAAGCTGAGGCTAGAGGTAAAGAGCTCTAGCCAAGACCATATGAAGGCTTTTTTTTAGCCCTTTGCAAAATCAATCTGAGAGACAAAGAAATGGCCCACTAATTTGAAATCAGAGCAAAGACATTCACCACTGACATAGGCCGGGGTTTGTTAGCTACTGCCCCCCATAGCAATGCTCAGCTCTTATATAAAAGGCTGAAGGGTAAAACTGACAAGAATTCTGCTCCGGGGGAGGAAAAACAGGTGAACAAAAAGGGAAACAGGGGAATTGAGAACAGTGAGCCTGATCCTGCTCCCATGGCAAAACTCCTCCCAACTCCATTTTAAACACAAGGAAGCTTTTGGGGCAAACCAAGAACCACTATCCCAATTACAGCCACTCAAGTCCCAGTTTGAGGCTATCAGGCTTGACAACGTCTCCCTTTGAGTACGTGCTGCATTCCCTTAAAGGCTCCTCTGGAATGGTTACATGGCATCAAGTAAAGGCTGAAAGAAAACAGCATAAAACCTTCCCTTCCTAGATATAATCCATGTTTTTTTAAAGAGATATTGTCCACTCAGAAAGAAATGACACTGCATGAAAAATGTTCAGCTTCTATAGTTATGTTGAGTAAACCCCTCCTCTTCCCCCACTTCTCCATCAAGACCTCTCTCTTCCAGTTCTGAGAGAGGATTTCTTTCTTTCTTTTAGTGTATATTCCTTTGAGGTTCCTCCCTCATGCATTCTTCAGGAATGGCATAGTGTAATGTCCATGCTCTTCCTAGGCTCTGTAAGTGAATGCAGAGAAAATCCAGAGATACTGCTGTTTTCACATTTGGTGCCTTGCACGTGCCCTGAGACTTCTGTGCAAAAACTAAGCAGTGAGCAAGCAGACCATTTCTTTCCTCTCTGAGCCTGTCTGGACCAGCAGGAGAAGAAAGGAGTCCTGGGGACTCCACACACACGCACACACACACACTCTCTCTCTCTCTCTCTCTCTCTCGCCTGTGTGTGTATATCTAATCCAGGATAAACTATTTAGGAAGGCACTTTAATGAATGTGAATCTGTTGGAACTAGTCAATTTAAAAATAAAATCAAACTAAAATAAAATTAAATTTGACACTCTTCCATAATTATTTTTGCAACTCTATACGTAATTCCTTCACAATAACTAGCTTCTTCTCTAAGATACTTTTTATTCACATAGATTACAAGCATATTTTTGCCTATGTATGACATAACAAAGGCCACATTTTTGATTTAAATATAAGCCTCAAGAATAAAGACTAGACAAAAAGAAACACTGTGCAAGCTGAGATTGTATATGTTTCTGCTGAGCTTGAATACCAAATACCACATAATAAGCCTCTGAAAAACAGGATTATAATGACAGTGAGGATGCAGCCTGACCTATTGCACTCTGCTCCAACAGGGATAGTGTTCTTTCTGAAACCATGTTATACCCTGACAGTTATAGTTTTATGGCAGCTAAAACACACTTAAGCTGCCTATACACATGCTTGTTGGCGTTCTAATTAGAATGAGCCAGAGCAGATTCGATTAATCAAGTCTGCTTTGTGTTCTAATCAGAATGCTGCAGCATCACAGGTATTAAGCCCTTGCACATTTAAAAATGGCTG